AAAAAAAAAAAAAAAAAGAATAAGGGATCCAATGAGACTCACATATGTGTAACAATTGAATGTATGACAAATTTCCAGGATATACAGTTATATGAAAACACCCTCCCCAATATGTGTAGCATGCTGTCGTCTTTCTTAAAAAAAGAAGGAAGGAATAAGACAATACCTGTGACTTTGTCTGTGGAAAGAAAATGTGGGAAGTGAAACCAAAATCTAAAGAGACTGCTGACCCTAAGAAGTGGATGGGAAAGGGGTGAAAAGAAGAGGGGAGTGGTAAAAGAGTAGCAGGGATGATGAAAGAGCCACCCTGCTCTGAGTTTTTGGGTAGTTCTCACTGAACCATACCCGCCAAATTCCCAAGGAATTTAACCAAGTGGGATGTAGGAGAAGGGAACCCCAAATAGAATACAAACACTCACAATGAACCTAGCAATCTTTCACTACTGAGAAAGGGTGGAGAAGAAACGAACAAACATAAGTATCTACAGAAGACCTCACACTGACTGGATTCTGTGAGGCTAAAGACAAAGGACTGTGCATAAATGCTGCAATACAGTCAGTGGATGTCTCAAAAAAGAAAGATGTAGCAACTTTTATGTATACTGTGTACCAGTATTAAACAACTAAGTAAAAATAGGAATTGGACAGAGAAATGATAGAAAATGAAAGGGGAAAGGTCAAAATGAATCTTTTGGGTTGGAACCAGAGGTATTATTATAAACTCAGGGTTTCTAATCTGTAGATAAATAGATACAGAAAACAGTGGGTGTAAGTGGACAGGTTCTGTCTGCTTAGAGGGCACAAAGCAGCAATGCCCCACTAACAGTGAGCACATTCAATATCTAGAACATGGTCTGTAAACATTATTCTAAAAAAGGAAACTAGAGGTGGCTGACTGCAGAGCCAGGCCAGGGAAATTCAAGGTGAGCCTGGAACTCTGGAATCAAATAAGTTTGCTGAAAGAGCACAGGTGCCAACCTGAATGAGCACCTGCTCCCTAAGTTGGAACATAAAAAAGCAAGGAAATAAATAACAACATTGGATTATAGTTCATGGAATAAAACAAATGTGTATGTGTCCATACTGATATTAATATATATTTAACTAGTAAATGTGAGAGAAAAGAGAAATAAAGAATTATCCTTAGTTAGACACCACAGTAATATTACAAATAAGGATCCACTGATTGATAGATATTGAAATGAGCAGGTGGGAATTTGGGAAGGGACATCATTGCGTAGTCTCTCTTTTTTTGCGGGGGGTTCTTTTTTGAGACAGGGTCTTGCTATGCAGTTCAGGCTGGCCTTGAGCTCACTTTGTAGCCCAGGCTGATCTCAAACTTGCAACGATCCTCCTGCCTCAGCCTCCCGACTGCTGGGATTACAGGTGTGCGCCACCACGACCGATTGCATAGTCTGAAAATACCTCCTCAGCAAGGTTCTAGCTTTTTTTAT